ACACAGTTGTTATCGGCACATAATTTTTGAATAGAAATTAAATTAAATTTAATTTGAGGCACATGAAAAACATTTTTCAATGACAAGGGGCGACTGAGAGTATTTAAGGTAATATTTCCAATATTAGCAATAGGTAAATTAGTACCATTGGCCACATTAACAGTCATGGAGCCAGAGTAAGGGAATTTATTTGACAGAATACCTTCAGAAGAGGTCATGTGAGCAGAAGCACCGGAGTCCGGATACCACAAAACATCGTTAGATTCACCACTTGGAGTAATCAACGCAGGTGCATAAGTTTGTGAAAAACGAGACGGACAGTGCATCGTAGAGTGACCTGCAGAGAAACAAATTTGACACACAACTGAGGATGGAATGGACCCAAGAATACCCTCAGAAGACGGGAAACCTGCAGAGTAACAATGAGTACCAGAAGCATAATTAGCATTAATATTTAAAGTGGACACAACAGATTTACCAGATGCGTCATTAGGACGTCTCGGGACAGGAACACACCCTGCAGGTCTCGGCCCAGACTGGTTGGCGTGCACCGTAGGAGCTGGTGATGCGTAGTATTGCGGCGGCGAGTGTCTGCCGCCTCTGCCGCGTCCCCCGCGGCCTTTGCCGCCTCTGCCGCGTCCCCTGCGGCCGCGTGGAGCTGATGGACCCGGCTGCCCGGTCCCCACTAGAGCAGCAAAAGCTTGGTGAGGAGAAGAATAATCTTGTTGTTGATGCAAAAGAGTCTGCTCAGCTTCCATGAGGCGCGGGTGAAGGATATCAGGTGGGAAGCTATCAGGAAACAATGAGATAGTGCCCGTAACAAACTGATACTCAGGGCCTAGTCCCTGGAGTGTGCTTTGTAATAATTCCTTCTCAGTCACAGGTGAATTTATTGCTGCTAAAGCATCAGCCGGATTTTTAATGTCACGCAAATAGTGGTCCATGGACTAATTTGATTTCTTTTTGATATTATACAATAATCGTTTAAGCTCCATAGCTCTAGGTAAACTGGCAGACATAAATCGTGATTGTAACCGCTCCCATATACCCAGTGAATGTTTAATATCATGAACATCAGCTAATACTTCACGAGATAAAGTAGCAAACAACCAGGAACGAATTGTTTGATCTACTCGTAGCCAATGATAATAGTCAGTATTAACAATTTGATGATTATTAAGATCCAAAGTGTATAAGGGAGGTACCGGAATAGAGCCGTCTAACATACCAAAAAGACCCTGTGACACCATGAATGATTCGAATTGAGTGCGCCATGTAAGATAATCTTCAACTGCTTTGAGTTTGATGGTAACAATCTGATCCACGTTTGCAATTCCATGAGAAACAGCCTGCGCCATGGCTGCCATTGGTGAGCCGAAGAGAGGGTTGTCATGCTGGGGTCGGGCAACTCCTGGAAAACCAGCGAACGACGGGCCAAAATAAGGAGAAGCCGGTGGCGGCGTGGGGCGTGGACTGGCCGGTGGAAGGAGAGGGCGACTCGACTGCCATGGGAATTGTGGCGGCAAGGAGTTGAAGAGGGAATATGGCGTTGGCGCAGTATACGGCTGAAACGGATATGCTGTCATGTACTCGGTCGTTGGCGGTGGGAGGGGGATGCTGCCAATCGGACGTGAGATCGCTGCCTGGACCTGCGGCTGAGAGATGGCATGCTGAACGGGGGAGGAGAAGTTAGATGCCGAGGTGCCTACGTCTGTCGTGGAGAACTACAGTGGCGGCGGCGTGGCTGGTGAAGTCGGCGGCGCCGTGGTAGAGAAATAGGAAGACATGGCGGCGACGTGGATCAGGAAAGAAAATTAGGGTTTTCTTTGGTCTTCTGATACCATGTGAGAATTAATGGGAAATGTAGTCCAATAGGAGTCCTGACATGTATATTTATAATAAAAGAGTTATAAACATACAAGGAAACAAATATGAATAATATTTTATTATTTTGCAGATTTTCATATCATATGTAAAGGGAATATTGTACCTAGTTCAAAGTAGAGTATATAATGTAGAGCAAAAATGAAAATATTTATAGTAAAATTTTGAAACTATATAGTAGTTATCAGATGTAAAAATCATACATGTTCTTGCTTTTCAAAATTGTGACCAAAGTGAGTGCTGGAAAATCCTATTTTTAGTGTGCTACACCTTCGACTAAATATCACTTTTAAATGCGGTTGGAAACTGTAATGAGGGTACGTGCAAGTTGAAGACCGTAAACTGCTTCGTGGAAACTGTCATTGATGAAACCGCTGTTATGAAAAAAACTCCTGATCATAATTTCGGATACGATAGTATTTCAGATTCAAGTGCACACATTTGAAAGGTTCGATCTACTGCCACGTGTACTGATTAGCAAATAAATTTTGAAAATGTTTTTTCAGGTTGCCACTTTTTTTATTTAGCCAATTTGAAACAAATAAAAATTATTCACCCGATAAAAAAACTAACCGCCTAAAAACAACACTTTCCCACACTCCCACCCCCTCCCACCTCGCCTAAAATCAACCTGGAAGGCATTTAATTTGGATGCATGACATTAAGCATTGAAAATTCTTTTTGGATTTCAAAGTCTTCCTACGTAAATGTAATATGAGGTGGATGACTATTCCATTTATTGATTGTCATGTGTCAAAATTTATTAAATGTTAAAGGTGTAGCATTAAAGATGCTCTTATTTTAAAGGTGTTCAAGGTGTGTGCCAAACCTTTAGAGCATCTCCAACCCATGTAGTTCTAGTCTATTTTAAAAGTGCCAAGTGTCAAAAAGTTAAATGGCTTTCTAGTCCACAAAATAAAAAGTGGTCTGATTAGAAATTGAAGGTTAAAAAAGCTCTACAATGCGGCACAAAAAAACAGCCCATGACAGATCCCATGTGGAAAAGATTATATTAAAATAAACCTAAACTACTTTTCTTTTTTTAACACCTTCCTACGTCTCTCCAAAAAAACAGCTTCGTTCCTAACCTTGAAAAAACAGCTTCATACGTAGATTTCACTATTTCAGGTAATTCATCTTTTGCCTGCTTACTCTCAATGGAATCACGTTTTACTAATCCTCGATTGTTGTCACGTTGAATTAATTATACAAATATGATAACATGTAAATCACGTTGTATTTGTTTCGTTCTTTAATTTTAAAGAATATGAAACAAATATTAAATTCAACTTTTATTTGAATCCTTCATTAAAGAAAGAGCAGAGTTTTTTTGAAAGAGAAGAAAGAGCATAATTGAAATCACATAAAAAGGAAATATTAAATTACGGAAAGTGGCCAGTGGGTTATTCAAATAATCAATATATGTGTGTCCTATATATTTCTATATACATGTATATTAATATATATGTCGTCCATACTCATATGCAGTGAAGTGGGTTGTTAAGTTTTTTAAAGGAAGTGTGGGTATTAAGTTTAGAGAAAACAATATATATATATATGTTTGTGTTTGCGTTTGTAAGTGTGTTTTATTATATATATAGTATGATTGTTTATATAAATCTTTATTTTATTAGTTTTAAATTATGAGACGTTTTTATAGCGCGTATAAGAATGATGGTGTTTATTGTTTCTTGTTTGAACAGATTTGAGTTAATGGATATGGCTTCTCCGAATTTTGATTCAGACTCTAATAGTTCATCTTCAAGTGACAGTGAACTTTCACTTTCCAAACATTTGTTGTGTGACGGAAATAAGAATTCGAATGCTCCCTTGATTGTTTCTTCAATGTTGGCTGCTGCAAAGTTCTCTCTTGCCGGCTCAACATTAGGTAGATGTTATATTCATCGTGATAGGAAAGAGCGCCATGACATAATAGCTGAGTAAACGGTCAGTTTGGTCCTCGAAGTTGCAAAAAAGGGGTCAAATAAGTCCTTATATAGAAGATTCTGTCCGGACGTGCCATTTGAGGTGGCTCCCGGTAGAATTTTTTGATTAAACTTTTTGAGCATCTTATTCATTAAGTCTAGTTTACTCATACCAAATTTCAACTAAAAATTCAATCGGGGAGACATTCAAATGAATTCTTGAAGATAATTGCGCTTTTAACGGCACAGTTATCTTCAAGAATTCATTTGAATGTCTTCCCGATTGAATTTTTATCTGAAATTTGGTATGAGTAAACTAGACTTATTTTGTAAGATTCTCAAAAAATTTAATCAAAAAATTCCACCGGGAGCCACCTCAAATGGCACGTCCGGGCAGAATCTTCTGTATAAAGACTTATTTGACCCCTTTTTGCAACTTCGAGGACCAAACTGACCCTTATCCCCATAATAGTTAATGACTATTTCAAAGGTGAAAACTCAAAGTACACTCCAGAACTTTTTCGACGTAGGTTTAGAATGAATATTGAATTATTCAATAGAATACTACAAGATGTGGAGAACTATGACAATTATTTTCAACAAAAGACTGATGCTGTTGGAAACATTGGGTTGAGCCCCCTGCAGAAGATGGTTGCAACAATACGTATGCTCGCATATGGTTGTCCAGCTGATTTTCTTGATGAATATGTTCAAATTGGAGAAAGTACAGCAATTGAAAGCCTGAAGCATTTCTGTGATGCTATTATAGGACTCTATGAAGAGCATTATTTGAGAAAACCAAACAAGGATGATATTAGAGCGCTCCTAGAAGAAAACGAGACTCGAGGATTTCCCGGTATGCTTGGCAGCTTGGATTGTATGCATTGGCAATGGAAAAATTGTCCCACTGCTTGGCATGGCACACATACTAATGGTTTTAAAAGAGTTCCCACTCTTATTTTAGAAGTTGTAGCTTCACAAAATTTATGGATATGGCATGCTTTTTTGGAATGGCAGGTAGTAACAACGATGTTGAGATAGATCACCCTTATTTGATGATATAATTAATGGTATTGCTCCACCATGCAAATTCGTTGTTCAAGGTCATGAGTACAACATGGGCTATTATTTAGCTGATGGGATATATCCACAGTATGCTACTCTGATCCAAACAATATCTCCACCATCGTCTATCAAGGAAAAGTTGCAAAAAAACAAGAATCAGCGCGAAAGGATATTGAGCGAGCATTTGGTGTGTTACAAAGTCGATGGCATATAATTAAAGGACCTGCTCGGATGTGGAGTGCTAAAGACTTGGGAAAGATAATGAAGACATGCATCATCTTACATAACATGATTATTGAGAATGAGCGTAGTGAAGGCGTTAATCCAGAAGATTGGCGGGACGAAGGAGATGAACCTAGTGAAAGTGTTAATCTAGAGCATGATTTTACCTTAATTATGTCCATGATGATTAATCGCACAAAGCAGGTACAAGACACATGGTTACATAGAGAATTAAAAAAGAATCTCATCAACCATTTGTGGGAAGTCTACGGAGGTCAAGTTTTTGATGATTAATTTTTTTTGTTTATGTTGTGAACCCTCCATGTTTAGTTTAATGTAATAAGCTTTATATATGACCCATTATCGTGTATTTACAATTTTAAGTTATAAATTATTGTGGCAGTGAAGTTATGTCATTAATATAATCCAACTTGGTTTAAATACATGTTATACATACTGCCATGATTTTGTTATTTTATGTTATATGCTGCAGATACCTACTCACAGTGGACTGGTATTGAGATTTTTTAAAATCTGTACAGATGGTACTGATTTATTTTTTACTTTTTTTTTGATAAAAATCAACTCAGCTAATCTGTGTTAATTCTCAGCCTTCCTTCTTCCGGTCTCACCCATCCCAGGCATATGCAATATGCGTCTAGACCTGCTATCAATCCTGTAGCTTTCTGCCAGCTTTCCAAAATACTTAGAACCACTGTCACAACCTTTCATTCCTTGCTTTCCACAATCCCCATAGGCCCATATCGACATTATGAACTCACTGCAACACTTTTCCATAATTTTGGTCAGTGTATTCTCTATCCATTCTACAAAGCTAGTTTCAGCAAGTATATTAAACTTCCAATTCATTAAATTCCAACCTGCTGCCCCACTGGACAAATGCCAAACACATTAATTAAATTATCCATTCTCCTCCTAGTTTTCATGTAAATAACAGGAGAGGAAGTTACTCCCAAAACAATATTAAAACAAACAAATCAATAACTGTTGGAAAAATGTGTGAAAAATTGCATTAAATGGCTATTTTGGGGCAATTTTCTGAGTGGGGTCCACTTCCGATTTGGGTCAGGTCAAAGTGGTTTCGGATTGTCCTTGTTAAGGGCTACAATTCGATATATGGTACGCTCAAAACGGATAATGGGTGAATGAGAAATCGCTTTTCGAAGTTTACCCGTTAGAAGGGAAAAAAGATGGGTTTCTAGTGTGTTAATTTCCCACACCGGAAAACCCAAGGGATTTGCTACCCTTTATAAAGGGACTCCCCCCTTATGGAGTTAAGATTCTTAAGGGTAAATGCTCTCTCCACGCGCGCAGGGGGGGTGCAAATCAAATCCCGAATTCGGAGAAGAAAAACCGCGACTTGCGTGCGCGGGCGACCTGCGGACACGAATGTCGTCCAAAAATCTATCTCTCAAGAGATACGGTTAATTTTTGTTTTCTTCCCGAAACGTTTAATTTTTTCCCAGCGGCAGAAGTGCTCGGACAGAAGCCTACGGATCAGAACACCTCGTTGGTGTTCTGATGGCAGAACGCGCCCATCAGAGATGAGGTGTTCTGATGGCCGCCCATCAGAGTTGGGGGTACTCTGATGGCCGCGGATCAGAGTTGGGCTCTTCTGATTGCCTCCGATCAGAACCCCTCCCGGGGTGTTCTGATGGAGGTCTTCTGTCGCGCTTCTGAAACGTTACAACAATTAATGCCCAACGTTTATATCTTTTAATGCAGCGTTAAATGGACAGTTCATGGACGATTCAATGCCCAACGGACTGGTCATTGATGTCCAACGTTCAGGTCCATTAATTCACCATTTACACACAACAAATCCTTCTATATAAAGGCTGGCAGGTGGTTTGCAACAAGACAGGTTCTTGCACGTTCTTACACGATTTTACACAAATCCATACACGTTTTAGCTCTAAAAACACACTGCTAGCAATCTGCAAATTCCTTCTGTGTTCATACTGTGTTCTCGTTCGCTGGAACTCTTGTTTGTGTGCTCAAACATTAGTTCGTAGTCATCGTATCCTGGGAAACTATTGTTGCAACGCTCCTAGCACCGTGGGAGGCAACAAATACGTTTTAAGGAAATCGTGCGTAGCACGAGCTTTGACTAATTCTGCTTCATCTCCTTTCTTGTTTTTCTCTTGTCATTTTATTTAATTAATTTATTTTAATTAATTTTCTTTATTTTCCGAAACACACCCAACAATAACATCATGAATAAACAAACAACTGAAACAAGGTTCACATATATATTCCTAGGAAATATATAATTCAACTATCTAAATCACTAATGCTAACAGGAAGAATAGTCTTTGAATTTAAATGACAGTGACATATTTGAACCTAAAATGCATTAATATCTCCAATGTATTCAGGTAGAAAAGCTGTCATTTTCCCACTCCTTTGATATTTGAGCTTGTAATTTTTCATATGTAGCTCGAGCGGTAGGTGACAGCTTACTAAAATCAAGATTCATAATGCGTTCTTGTTCTAATCTTCTCCGGGCTCTCTCTCTCTCACATTTTTTGACTGTGTTGTTTAAGTTCTATCTCCTTCTTCATTAATTCCTTCTTCAACTCCAACTCTGCCATATTAAATTCGACTTACTTGTCTAAGGTACACTGTAATTTACTCAACGCTTCTATCACTCCATTTTCTGAATTCAACTTACGCTTTCTTTCTTTACAACTCTTCCTTCCCTGTGGGCGCACAATTGCATCACAAGTAACTTTTTCTGGCTCCGCAGAACAACTCACACTAGGTGTGTTCTTATCTGTTACCGCTGTGTTACCGTTGAGTAAACAATCTGTAGCAGATGTAGACGACTTCGTAAGCTGACTTGTGCACCATTTTGGATTCCTTATTAGAAGTTCCCAGCAATGCACATACTTGAATTCCTTTTTCTTATTACCACTTGAATGCATTTCATACATTCTCAATGCCTTTGCTTTCTGTAAAAATAAAAAAAATGCAATGAAGTATTTGTGCTTTCATACGCATAGCTGAAATAAACAAAAAAATAAAGAAACACATACTAAATCTTCCGGGTTTGATCCACTTTGGGGATGCCTTTCAAGTTTTTCATAAATTCCGTGGAACTTATTGACTGCTTTCTGTATTTTTTCCATCGGCATTGGATGTTGTTACTGTTTCTGGCATTAGCGTATTTATCTCCCATGGTGTCCCTCCAAACTTGTAAGATTCGCTCCCACATAGCTGTCGGTTTATGATTGTTACCAACATCTGAATCCATAGAAATATTTAGTTAGTGCAACATCATCTTCTGAACTCCAATAATCTCTTTTAGAACTGGAAGGTTGAGAAGTATTGGGACTATCATGGACAACTTTGGGGTTCCTTTTCCCTCCTCCGCGTGAATTGTGTGTTTCAGTGGGCTCACTTGAAACAATGGGAGTGTTTAAGAGATTTTGGAATGAGAAGTGAGGCCCGTAAGGTAGGTTATTGTAAGGAGGATAAGAACCATTTAATGGATTGAGCTGATATGGAGGCTGAAACTGATGGCTTATGGGAGTAAATTGATTTGGAATTTGGCTTGACAGGTTAGCATGGTTGGGATGTTGGGAGCTTGAAAACGGATTAGACCCTAAATCCATGTCAAAATGAACCTGCACATCATGAAAAGAAATGCAGAAAAAGAACAAAATCATGTTACCTGTCTAAGGACTTCTTATAACAACAAATCAAATGCTATCAATTGCTTTCTGCCTAACATCATACTTTTTCTATTTTTTATATTTTTGGCAGCAAAGTGTAATTTCTAGTTTTGAAAATAGGTACGGTACATTATTATTACTTATTATTCCCATATAAGAAATGTATAACTTCTTCAAGGCACTAGCTATGCTTGATTGGCCAGTGTAATTGCTATACAGTTTCCAATAATCAGAATAAGCTACATACTGCTACCAACATGAACCTAAATGTTATTTTTCATTATATCTATGCAAAAGTAGAAACTCTAGAAAAATAAGATAGATTTTATGATAAACTATTAACTCTAGCTATTAGATACTCCATAATTTCCCTTTATTAGATAAGCCATAAGAATCTTTTTATTTCGTCTTTCCTGGAACTTACAACCTCTTATTCCATACGGCCTGAAAATAATTGGTGTTAATGTTGTAATTGATCTACTAAATATATGATTCATTAGAACACAAGAGTATTTTACAGCATACATTAAGTACTATGTCATGAGATTTTTTTATCAGTGAGTGTAGAATACATGTTAAAAATTAAACGTTTAGCAATAGAGTGAGCGAAAAGGAGTACAGTCTAATTGTATTTATAGAAATCATATTGTCTCAAGAAATGCTTCGCCTAATAAACCGAGAAGTATAAATGTCATCTCACAGCAAGTCATACTTTTGAAGTTTTCATATCGCTAGTTAATTAGCTGAAGATGTTGTTCAAGCTTGCCACTATCCAGATTAACTGTAAATCATTATAATATTTAGTTCTGATGTTACTTTGTTAGAGGCAGCTCTACCCTCTAGAGTTAAGGCAAACTGTTAACACAACAAAGCAGGACTAAAGTAATTAAAATTGTTATTATGATAATACACATAACTAAATGTCTATATAAGTTGCTGGAGCAATAAAGGGATTGCATGAAAAACATATCTTACCCGTAGGAATGAACATATAAGAAAGAGAAAGAAACTATTAACTACTTTGTTTGGCTTTATTGGGAAAACAATGTCAATAGAATTGCAGAGCAACTATTAATGTACTGTATGTATTTGGTTAAGCTAACGGACATAGGAGTTTATGTTTTCATTACCAATGTTTAAAGATTGTCCGGGTCTGTAAGAACTCAACAACATTTCTTATTTCCTTATTGTTACTTCATTGAACATGAAGAATTGGTGTAAAAGATGTAAGAATACATATGTGGTGAATAATGAATTCCCAGATTGCTACTTCAGAGTAGTGGAATACCAATTTCATCCAAGTCTGATGTTCAGGGATTTTTTAGGGATTTTTAAAAATCTGCATTCGATCCATGATTCAAGTGATATTCCAGGAGTAATAAAAAAGCTATGCATTGAGAGTCTTAATCATATCAGAGTTGACGCAAACAAATGCAATCTTTGATGCCTTGACTACCGCCGACAAAAAAAATGCTAAGAAACATGGAAACTTTGAGGCTTGGACGAAAAGTACTGAACACACAAAAATCAAAACTAGAGAACAAATTCAACTCAGAAGGCATGAATGGAAATTATAAATTTTGTAAAAGAAAATCAACCCAGACACCAAATAACGCAAATCATGCGGTGATTATACTCGCTGATTGCAAAATAACAGTATGCCTAAAGCAAAATAAACTATTCAATGAGGAACCGATTGTATCTCGAGGCGGCTAAAATCAAAAGATGCTTTTGTTAATATGAAATACCAACCTGTGCGGCGAGAAATGGAGTATGAGCAGCAGTTTGAGAGAACCCAGCTTCTTCCATGATTCGAGAGAACCAGACTTCTTGGTGATTTGAGAAGCTTGAGAATATAAAGATGTGTGGGAGTTTCCCATAAATGAATGACCGGGAGTTTTTCGTTTCCCCCTTCTTTTTTATGGAGCGGCGCCTTTTTTTTTCGAGTCAGCAAGTTTTCGAGGCTTTCTTTACTCGCACTTGGGCCTTCACGGTGTTTAATTTTTTTTAGCCAGGTCAGCAAAACCTTATAAAGACTGTCAGCATTGGAGAGTCTAAAAAATAGAAGGTGTGTACGCTTATGACATGGCGCACTAAAATAAGACTAAATAGTGCCGCATTGCGGTTGCTCTTAGCCATGATCCAAGACCTAACACACACGTTCTCTGCTACCGTTTTAAATATATTTGTGTTATCAGATGTTTACCAAGTGTGTGCCACGTGTTAACATAAAATTCCTGGGCATGAAGTCGTGAACAATTATGCTCCCATGGTTCTCTTTTTATATATTTTATTGGTAAAAAACGTTAATTTTTTTTCAAAAAATAATTACTACCTCCGTCCCTAATAAAACTTCCAAATGAGTTGGGCACACAATTTAAGATAGTGAGTATTGTGTGGTGGAGAGTTGTGTAGAGGAGAAAGACATGTGTAAGAAATGTTGTGAACCACAAATTTTTTACCAAAAAGGGAAAGTGAAAGTTTTAATTGGGACGAACGAAAAAGAAAAGTTGGAAGTTTATTTAGGGACGGAGGGAGTACTTTTTTATAGGAAAAACGACCAAAACCAGGTTTGTCGTTTTTTTCGGATATGGGTCTAAACCGGGTTTTTCCGGATCGGTCCGGTTTTTCTGATTTTTTACCACTTTCGGGTTTTTAACTAACCAACAAGTGCATGCCGACTTTTTAAACATATGTAATCTGTGCCCCAACTAGGGTTGTAAACGAATCAAATAATTTGTGCTTGATTCGCGATTCGAATTTGTATAAGACAATTCGAATTCGGAAAATTCAAATACAAATAAGAATATTAAATTTGATTCGAGTTGTTATCAAATACAAATAAGAATATTAGTGAATTCAATTCGAATATTAATCAAATACTCCGTATATACGATTAATAATAATAGTACTCCATCCGTCCTATTTTACTTGTCTTAGTTTCCTTTTTGGGTTGTCCCAAAATAAATGTCATCTTTCCTTTTTTGAAAAGAAATATGTGGTTCACAACATTTCACTTTACTATACTCAAATCTCAATCATAACTTTTACCTTTTCATCCAATTTATTAAAAATTGTGCTAAAACCAAAGGAGACACATAAAATGAGACGAATGTAATAATAACACTATAATAACTTTTAAAAGACAACATACATATAACCCATATATACATTTATGCATACATATTCCAAGCTCATTTGTAATAAACCGGAATATAAATACGAATACAACTCAATTTTTTTTTATCCAAATGTCTTTCAAATACAATACAAATAATTATGTATTTGATTCGAAGAATAAAATTAGAGTCGTTTGACTTTAATATATACAATTATCAACTCATTTCTCACATTAAAAATTTAAAAGTATGATTTCTTATGTGTGTTAGTGTTTATTTCAAAAAAATTGAAATAGAATTATACGGAGTATTTAGTATATTATGCACAATCTAAAAATGAGTTAGGGGGTGTTTGGAACTGATTCTGCTTCTGCTTCTTTTTTAAAGCAGAAGCAGAATCAGAATCAGTTTTTAGTTTTTAGAAGCTGGTACCCCCCAGCTTCTAAAAAAACTGATTCTGAGAGTAAATTAGAGCACCAGAAGTGCTTCTGGAATTTCACCCAAACACTCCAGCTTCTGCTTCTGCTACCTGAAGGAGCAAAATCAGTTTTGAGAATCAGATCCAAACACCACCTTAATCCATTAAATTTGAATTCTAAAAACACATCTTTGCCCCCTGCGTAGCAGCACACTGACGCTTCCCATTACCTCCACTAGCTAGCGGTTTATGTCCGCATGGCGATGGAGCATCGAACTTCATATGAATCCGACCCGCTAAATGCTTTTGCAGGTCTCTTTCTTCTCCCACGAGAAATTAGTAACCCATCTGAAGCTTCAAGGGCATCTCAACTGAACGATCTACAGTCAATTCACCTAGTCATGAAGTCTGCGGTACACTTCTCGATCTGAATTGCCTATTCAAGTAACCCTACCATGGATTATTCATTTCTGTTTGGTTTTCGAAGAACATTTGGCTGAACTTATGCTCACGCGCTAAGAACTTCTAAATGTGATCGACTTTGGAAACTCATGGTTTGTATGATAATTTTAGATTGAAACATAATTACAACTAATAATGTTGGGTTGTTCGTCAATTTTTTAAAGGGCCTGAGAAATGCTGAAAAACTCATAGAAGAGTCGAAGGCAATAGTTGATAATGGTTCAGAACAGCTTTTGACCGCTTACTATCCACACTTCATTTCACATCTGGGATTGGATGATCATGTAGATCGAAAGGGAGAAAAGGATAAGGCTCTGGAGCTAAGGCCAAACCTTGGCCGAAAAAGATCTGGATTTTCTATGAAGCCTTATGGAAGGTCAGATTGCGATTTTTTTGGCATTTAAAAAAAATTCTTCATAAAATATGGCACTCAGTAACTGTACAAACTACATTGTGTATTACAGTCAGCCTACCGTTATTACATTGGGACCCAAAGTGGATCTTGATCAAATTACAGACCCAGAAGAATATTTTCTGGCTTTCAAGAAGTTAGAGAGTAAATATTACTTACTACCCTTCCTCTTATTTAACCTCTATACTTTTTAGTGCTTCAATTGTGAATCAGATGACACAAGCCCCCCGTTGTTATGGTCTGTAAACCTATTTTGTTTCTTTGCATGAGCTACTTTGACTCCGCCTCATTAATACACAACTATTGATCTCTAGATGCTCAACAAGAGATAAACAGGCAGCTGGGTGTTGTAGATAATCACTCAAATACGAACATCCTGCTGACTAATTCAAGGCATCCTCAGCAGCCATTGCATTCGAGGTATGATGAACAATTTCATTAGCTGTCATTGTGAGGTCCTGGTTGTTGTAGGTTTCTTTTTGCTTTTCATTGCAATTAACAATGTTTTTTTATCACAGAAGAAAAGCAAAGTTTAAGCACATTCACCCCATAGTGAGATTTGACGATATTGATACAGTTATTCCCTCAAAGGATATACGTGAGCTCGACGATGTTTGTTCACCAAAATCCGATTCCCAGCTAGAAAACAACACTCATGATGCTGAACTGCGGGAATCAGAACTCGCTGGTACGACTTGCATGTTGCAAATTTCAATTGTGAAATGATTTCATTGTAGGTTCTCTCTTATTGTTTTTGAAACAATCATCCAATTTGCTTTTGCCTTGTTCATGTAAGGAGTGTTTGGATGCTTGTTTTCCCTTTTAGTTTTTGTGGATTTTGATTGATCCAGTTACTCCTCTATTCCACAGGCGTAATTACTGAAGAGGAAAACAGGCTTAATTATGCTATGGATAGACTGCTGTCTCATAATCTTGAGGAATTCCAAGGAGATAGAGTTTTCTCTTTACTGCAGGAGGAGCTGCAACTGAAACCTCTTGACTCCTCTGCCTTGCTCATTAGCCACCCTACCACTAGTACTGAAATTAATAAAATAAAGAAAAATTCAGATGTGAGTCTTCTAGACAATCAAGCTTACAGATGTACAGAAACAAATGCACATTCTGATAGTATAGATACCGGACATTGTGAATCTCCGGATTGGACGGTGGGAGATGATGAGGTTCACACTGATGAAGGCTATATAGCCATGAGAGGTATGGAACTTTTTAATGAATCTCATGGGAGCATGGGGCAACACAATGAAGGTAATCATGTAGATATCCAGACTAATGATGGAAAATTGAGCACGCAGTATAAGGACAGTGATGGTCAAGTCTGTGGGAGTGACTGCATTGACAAGGTTTGTATTTTTACATCAAGTATAGTTTCTTAGGGAGGCTAAACTGTTGTTGATCATAAAAAACAAATGCAGGATGAATGCACCCATGTGCAAGATCTGCCTCTTTCTCAAGTACAAGAAGAAGCTGATGACACAACCAATGCTTCCTATGCAATTGAAACTAACAATCAGAGCTTCATGTACTGCCAGTTGGATGAACATGTGAGATTCTACACTTTATCAATAAAGAACACTAAGTTCTACATTCGTAAATTATGTATTTTCTAGCTTATTGTACACACATTTCAGGCTAAAGATTTTCCATCAGCATATTCATCTGAGCAAATTCACAGTGCCGATGATGCATACATAAGTGAGAACTGCACTGGCGTTCAAAACCCATCTAGTATGACTCTTATGTTCTTAACATTTCAAAATTCCAAATAAGCTACACATTCACTTTCTCTAGATGCAAATTTGAATTCCATGTAACAGTGTCTTCATTAATATGTTTGTCATGGTACATGAGAACTTGAGAAGGTAAGATAGCCTGAGACCTCTTAATTAGGTCTTATCATCTTCAGTAAGCGAATGCCATACAAAATTACAGGAAAAATAATCTTTTCATTAATACGATGGCATTGTAGGAAATCCTAACTTACCCAAATGTCAAACTCTCAGTATAGTAATATTGTTGAATTTGGTGGCTAAGAGTTTGAATGTGAAAAAAGTTGTTATTGGCTGGCTTTTCGCATGTAGTGGGGAATGTGAAAAAGTAAAAATATCTCCTATGAGTTGAAGAAGCTTATCTCATGCAATGACATGTGTTGCTTTCAAGAATAGACTGCACTCATTATATTTCTAGCTAATTTTAACGTTAAATAGTTGAGCTTCCTATTATCGATTTTTGAGCTAGCATAACCTAGCTTGTTAACCTACCTTACCTTTCCTACACTAACCTAGCTTGTTTCTTTGAGCTTCCAGCTAATTCAGTGCTTATTGGTCCATCTTATGTTTTCAATTAGCTAGCACTAAATCACACTGCAAAAGTTCTTTCTCCTTGTTGCCATTAAATTGGAAATTATAACTTTTAGATACGCTTTACTGGCATATTTGTCCTTTTCTATGCCACAGATCAATCAAAGTTTGTTGCTGCCGAAGGCCACATGATGGATATGCGAAGTGCAGTTACTGATACTAATCCCAGACAGCATATCATGGTTTTATCTCTGATCATTTTTCTCTATTCCTGAGCTTCCAAAACTAAGATATCTATTTTATTTGTACTTATGGATGAACAGCATTTTTTGTTTGGCAGATGAAGTGCATCATCATTTACATTTAGAACATATGCACAGCGCATGAAGTGTCAATGTCCATGATATGTCTATAAGAACTATAGTCCTAATTGAATCACCATTGGTTTGGGTTAGGAATGATTTTGCTAGGAAAGACCATAAAAGCTACTCCCTTCATGGCTCTGTTCCAAGGCAATTGATGTTTTTGAAGAGTGTACAACTGTACATATAGGAACAATACTAGTTGGCTCTCCTACCTTCATTTGGGCTTAACAGTAGGTTGATTTTATATTTTCCCTTGTACAAAACCATTTAATGTAGGAATAGTTATATGGGAGAATTGGTAAATTAGTAAAAATATGCATATTGAACTTTTAATCACAAGAATGAAAACAAATAGTCATATGCTAACCTTTGTTCTTTTCTAGGTTAAAGAGTTTGACTTTCACGTTTACCAACAAATGACCATGACCAATGACATACTTAACTATGTATTAGCAAAAATTACACATTGATTTTTCAAAAATATTCAATGAGAAGAGTTCAAAAAAATTTACATAGTAAGATTTGTATTTATCAGTGATGTTAATAGCACGGCCTGTAGTGTGGTGTTTTGGGGTTCTTTTGTATTAGCTATGTGTGTGGCCCCAAGAGGAGTTCGAAACAAAAACATGCTTGTTGATAGAAATGTTACATGCTTTTCTCTGTGGGAGCTATGGATATTCTTATTCTATCACTTTTGTTTTTAATTGGAGTATTTGCCATGCTAAATTCAGAAGCACCGAGCTACGGAACAAACAAGGAAAAACAATCCTTTCCGAGGACGACGTGAGACAAGATCCCTTAAATCCAGGCCAAGTGTTGCAGGTTTGGCTCATCCTTGGCATTTCTTAATTGTAGCAAGTATATTATTGTAATGGTTTGGTTGCTTATTATTAATCTGATGACAGATGGCGGTACAATGTTTGAGGGCGGGGTCCGAAGAAGCAAAAGAATCAAGAGTAGGCCACTGGACTTTTGGAAAGGAGAAAAGCTACTCTTTGGGCGCGTTAATGAGAGTGAGCACTATGTTCCAGTTTTTTCCATATGTTTTTTTTGGGCACATTTGAGGGTGTGTAAATGATTGCTATTTCCTATACAAGGCATCACACTAGCATGGCTTTTCTGCATATCCCTAAAGACATGAGCCATGCCTTTTTTGTGGCCGCTCTAAGATCAGATGATATTGGTTTTTCAGACCCATGCTCTGGTCCTATGCTTGGTTTTCTAAGGGTATGTTTGGGAGTTGTGTTTTGGTGGGGAGGGGATTAGGGGAAGGGTTAGGAGGGTTCATGACCTCTCCTATCTTGTTTAGGAGTTTAGTAATTTGGAAGGAATGGTTTTGGAGGGTTCTTGTAACCCTTCAAAACCCTTTAAATGTTCAATTTTTAAGTTCCCCCAAATTGGGGGATTTTGAAAGATAAATAGTTAAATGGTAACTTTAACTTAATTAAAAATGAATATAATTCAACTATTTAAATTCGTCATATCTCTAACCCGTCTCTATTTAAATTTTTTAACTCCCAAACAAGAAGAAAGGTTCCCCCCTTCCCCTTCCCCTCCTAGAACTAACCTTCAAAGCCCTCCCCTTCCCTCCAAACTCCCAAACATACCCTAAGGCTACAACTATCCTATTGCCAATAGAGGATCTTCCGATCTTAGATTGAAGGCCAGGACCAAAGACGTGTATAGTACTTGTCTCTGGGAAAGGGTAGAGAAGCCATGCCTGTACGATACTTATCATTGTGCAGTGTTTTTATCCAAGCAGAAAACAGTTTCATATTATTTGGAAAATAGGTCAGGATGTCATATATTTGAGAGGCATACTAATAAATTAATAATTTCTTCTATGATTCATTTAGGCCAAATTACCAGATTGGTAAAAAAAGAGGGTCATTGGACGGATTGGTAAAAAAAAAAACCACTCGAGTCAAATTGGTAAAAAAAAAGGCCTAGTGACAAATTGATCAATTTTTTGTGAGTGATAAGTTTTCGATCATCGACTGTAGAATTCCCGACATTTCATATTCTAGGTATTGTGAAGTTGACATTTGCAGTTATTTATTTTGATTTTGTCATCAAAGTGGAGGTCTAAAAATGTCAATGACCGTGTTTGATAATATTAGTTGTCTACTAGTTCATAACCGGTTGAATCAACAAATTGATATTAGCGGATTCATTACCTTTTTTAACTAACCACTTTCATTAGCGGTTTGAAATAAAATGAACTTAAAATTAAATTTGCAATTAGTTTTACAAACGTAAAATGACCATTAAAAATGAATTTAAAAGTTTATATATTTGAATTAATTTTATTTTTTTTTAATAAGTTTTGGAAAAAGTTTTAAAAGTTATGGTTACGTTTATTTTAAATAATTACTAACACTGTCATTTTTAAGATATGCACATTAATGCATACACACACATATAAATTTATACTCCCTCCGTCCCAGAAAATTCTTCCCACTTTGACTTGGCACGGAGATTAAGAAAGTGGAATAAAGTGGAAATGTGTAATTGTGGTTGTGTAAGAAAAAAGTGAAATGAATGTGAACCACACAAATTATCCAAAAAGGGAAAGTGGGAAGAATTTTTTGGGACGACCCAAAAAGGAAAGTGGGAAGAATTTTATGGGACGGAGGGAGTATATTTTTAGTAATAATATTTTTAATATGACGATTTATTAGTTTTTTTAAAGTCTACTCCATTTTGAAAATCTACTCCAGAAAATGACTACAAATGTCAACTTCACAATACCTGGAATATGAAATGTCGGGAATTCTAAAGTCGAGGATCGAAAATTTATCACTCACGAAAAATTGACCAATTTGTCACTAGGCCTTTTTTTTTTTTTACCAATTTGACTCAAGTGGTTTTTTTTTCTACCAATCCATCTAATGACCCTTTTTTTACCAATCTGGTAATTTGGCCGATTCATTTATTGGGCTGTGAGTTGGTGTGTCATGTTTTTGGTTGAAGAACAAAGGAAAAGATGAAGAAAGTTAATGATTTTGGAGGGGCTGTTTGGCGGAGAAGTGGAAGGAGAATTAGGTGGAAAATAAAAAAAACAGATTGAACTCTAACTTTCATTTAAGTTTTTACTTTTCAAACATAGTTTATTCATTCATTTATTTATTTATTTATTTATTTATTTATTTTTATTATGTAAAGATTAAGAAATTTAAATAATTCTTCAAAAAAAGAATCATATTTCATTTTCATTTGCATTTTACAATGTAAAAGGCAAACACGCCCAAATAAATTTCTTTGGCATTTTGTCACTTTCTCTTGACATTTTCGGGGGACCCAAACACCTTCTAAAGATGTCTCCGTTCTGCATTCATCATCATTTCACTCTTTCAAATTGGAAAAATGCTTTGTGTACACACTTTTGTGTACATACACTCGTCTGTCTCGCGTATAAAGAATTGTTTGTCCACAGACAATTCTACGGACAATTTTTTGTGTGTGGGACAGATGAGTGTAGGAAAGGTGTACACAAAAATGTGTATACCTAGCACAACCCTTCAAATTGGTATGATGACGAACGAGCATGGTGGAAAGATGTTGCTAAGCTTATTGATATGTATGTTGCTACTGTCTGTGAGTATATCCACATGGTGTGCGTATTGTGTTGCAGGCGTGAAGCTTATCGGGGTGAAGTACGAATCTCCAACATCGGGAAATATGAAAGTGAAGTCATATGTTTCTGATAAGTATAAAGAGGTTTTAGAGTTGGCAGCCCGTGATTGAGTGTGACGAAGACACTCGTGTTCGCTTAGCCTTTCTTCCTGGTGGGACTTGACTTCCAGTCAGCGGAGGATAATATGTATTGGGGGCGCTATCATTTATAATTTGAGCTTATAATTTATGATTTAGCATGTAAATTACTAGTGGTTTTATACATCTAGTGATTTTTTATAGGAGAAATTTAGTATTCTAATGCATTTTTAATTCACTTGATATCTCGTGTCAATTATACTTTTTTATAAGTTTTTTCCTAGCGATTTTAAGAGTTACGGTAATAGTCAATACCATTAAATAGAACAAGTCAAAATTACCAAATAAATTCATACTTGACAGGTTTCGTAACCACAAAATTATGCAATTAAAAGGAGCTTAATGCCTAAATTTCATAAATAATACGGAATACTCCGTATGAATCGGTATGATACTAAAGAACATTTATCAGATACGGACTACGGAGTACTATTTTAATAATTTCTGCGTTAAAATAAGATTCTTTCGTTCACTTCTAATTAAAATTTATTTATTCTTTATTTATGATTAAATAATTAAATTTCATCTTGAATATTGTTTGAAAACACCTTTTAGGTATTTCACATTGATAAAACTAAATCATTTAAATTATATTAATGATTATAATTTTTAATATTAAATTAATTTTATCCCATTTTGTATTTTCTCATAATTTTATATTACTTGATTTTCCCCAATTAAATTTGCTGCGAACAAAATAAACTCAATTATAGTTATATATATAACGTTGATTTAGTAACATAAATGTTATAAGTAGTCCATTTATTTGATTGGGGGCATCATAAAATATCTAGTAGGGGCAGATTTTTTTGCAGCTACATAATGTTAGGAATTAATGCACTCAACACGAAAAAACAATAAGAAAAACACACGAAATTTGGTAATCCAGTTCGCCACAAAGGACTATATATGTCTGGGGGCGCTACCAAGCCAGGAATGTTATTAATTTCGGATCTAAGTGATTACAAGGGAGAGAACTTGTACTTATAGAGTAAAACCTAACCCCTAATCATAATAGGACGCACACGAGGCCTAGGGGTGGGCTGTGGGCACGGTCCGGGACGGTCCGGGATTTGGCTTATCCCGATCCCGTCCCGGTTTTATAACAACGGTCCGGTTCGGTACGGGATAAGTCTTTATCCCAATGTTGTCCCATTTAAAACGGGACCGGGACAACCCGAGAAAAACCGGGATGGTTCGGGATGTCCCATTAATATGCATTTGTTAAATGTGATATAAAAATAAGCATAACATCAATATAAAGATGTAACTATTTTTGCAAATTTAGCTTCCCCAAAAAGTTAAGTAAAACCTTTAATTGACTATTTTCAATTTTGTCTTGTAATTTTTTTTGGTCCCCCTAATATTGTGTTTCCTCTAGTAGAATAGTAGCGCAAAATATTTTTATACTTTGTAGTACACTTGTAATTTTTCAGTACCACATTCAATAAAATATCATATCTATAAAGACACTATATATATTTTCTAGTAGTTATTTTAGAAAATATTAAATCTGTAACAACACTATAATTTGGAGTAGTAGTTATTCCATCATAAATAGTATTCCGTACGTAATAATATATTATGGATTAGTATTGGAATGAGAAGTAAACAAATTTTAATCAAAAGAAACAAAAGAAATGAGTCATGAAATAAAATAAAATTACACTAGGGAGACTAAGGACTAGAAAGTTTTAATTGAGTTTGACTATTACATAGCATTAGAAATTTAAAATAACATATTAATTTCAAACGGGACACCGGGACGGGACATGATATTTTATAGCTATCCCGGTCTCGTCCCGTTCAATATCGGTGCAGGACCGGTTCGGGATGAAAAAATTGCATCCTAAATGGATCAGCCTAGTTTCGGAACGGTATCAGAATTTTTCGGTTTGGGACATCGGGACCGGGATTTTTGCCCACCCCTAGCGAGGCCTACATATGTACGGCCTAAACTGTACAGAAACTCGCGGCGAATAAGTCTTAGTTATAATCTCTAACACCTTACACATAAATATTATAGGAGAAATTGAAAATAATAATCCCAAGTCCCAACTATTGCCGGTCCGCTGACAATAATCCCAACTATTGATTATTTTTGTATAATCCCAATTATATGGATCGTCCGCCAATAATGATTCATGATCAGATATTACCTCCTATAACGAGTGAATTTTAAATAGAAATTAAGCGTAAAAAATAAAAGTTGGTGTTGGGCACGAAGCATATTTGGGCTTAATGTTGTACTATATTAATTGTATTTAGGCTTTGCATAGACGATACGGGCTGCGGCCACATTAGTTACATAGGGTTTCTTTACTCTTTGTATATATATTCGATCATGTATCCATGAATGGGCAAGGAATCATTATTCTCATAATATACATTATTCTTCTACTTAACATGGTATCAGAGTAATACGATCCTGAGCATCACCGTAGCTTCATCGCAGCACCAGCGTGCTTGAGCGAGGAAAGCTATGACCGACGACGCAACACCGGGGCTTGACCCAGCCTCTCCTTATTATTTGAGCTCCGGCGATCAGCCCGGAAATCTAATTACCCACGTAATTCTTAAAGGTGATAATTACGTGGCCTGGTCAAGAGCTTTTAGTTTATCTTTGAAGGCTAGACGGAAGTATGTATTCATTGACGGGACCCTCCGCAAACCCACCGCAGCCTAAACTTCTGGATTGGCACACGAACAACTCCATGATCGTTTCATGGATGTTGCGGAGTATGGATCCGAGTGTGGCAGCTTCAATACCCTTTCATGAAGAGGCCCGCTCGTTATGGCAGTATTTGGAAAAACGCTTCAGTGAAGCGAACGGGCCACACCTTCAACAATTGCGGACGATGATTGCTGAATGCAAACAGACCAAATCAATGACTGTTGACGCTTATTTCACCGCACTCATGGGACTGTACGACGAATTGTATCGTCTCAAACCACCGCATGCATGTACGTGTGGGAATTGTACCTGTGGGGTAGCGGACAAATACGCCACGGATAGAGCCGAAGAGAAGCTGCACCAATTCTTGATTGGGATCGATGACGAATTTTATGGCACGGTTCGGTCGAATCTTTTGTCCCAGACACCTCTGCCGGATATTGCTCGTGCGCACCAGGCCTTTCTCCAGGAAGAACGGTCGCGGTCAATTGCGCGGGGCAAGACCCACGCCGCCGATATTCAAGCATTTGCTGTTAAGGCTGATCATGGCAAAGGAAAACTGGATAAAACTGAAAAGGCTCGGCTGGTGTGTTCTCACTGCAAGCAGAAGGGTCACGATGTGAGTGTTTGCTTTAAAATCTATGGGTATCCGGATTGGTGGGAAGAACGCAATCGGAATAAAGCAGGGATGTCCGGACGAAGCTCGGCGACAGGGGGCAATATTACCGCAGCAGTGGCTCGCGGTCAAGGGGGAGGGGCGCGCGCTAATGCAGTGACTTCTACGGAGCCTCCTCTTGTGGCTGCGGTAGAAACTTCTGTGACCAGTGCTGACACCTACAATCCGCTCCAAGCATTGACACGGGAACAGGTTCAGACACTTTTACACATGATTAACGCCGAAACTCGTTCCAATGATCGCATGTCTGGTACGTATGCTAATTTTGATTGGATAATTGATACCGGTGCTTCCCGACATGCAACGGGTGATTTGAGCCGTCTTGTTGATGTTGTGAATATAAATAATTGTACTGTGGGTTTGCCTGATGGACGCACTGTAATTGCAACTCTTGAAGGCCGTGCTTTACTATCTAAGGACCTCGGCCTTGCTCATGTTCTTTATGTCCCCAAATTGAATTGCCATCTTATCTCCGTTTCTCAATTGACTGACCAATTGGCTTGTTTTGTCACTTTCACTAATTCTTTGTGTGCTATACAGGACCTACCCTCGAGGAGCCTGATTGGAGCCGGTGAGCGACAGGATGGGTTGTACTATTTCCGACGTGTGCCTGCTCTACATGCTGTGCAAGTTCCTGGTGTGACGGAGTTTGAGTTATGGCATCGGCGGTTGGGTCATCCCTCATACCGGGTTCTTAAATTATTGCCTGCATTTAGTTCTAGTAATTTTACAAAATCTCTGAATAAAGCTTGTGTAGTTTGTCCACAAGCAAAACAAGTTCGTGATTCTTTCCCTGTTAGTGACAATAAAGCAACTCATATTTTGGAATTAATCCACTGTGATTTATGGGGTCCTTACAAAACTCCCTCGACCTGTGATGCTATTTATTTCTTGACTATTGTGGATGATTATTCTAGAGCTGTTTGGGTGTATTTATTGCGTGACAAAAAGGAAGTCTACAAATATTTTCTTTCCTATTTTGCTATGATTGGAACGCAATTCAATGCATCTGTGAAAATTGTACGCAGTGATAACGGGACAAATTTTAAATGCCTGCTTCCTTATTTTAATGATCATGGTATTTTGTTTCAATCTTCTTGTGTGGAAACGCCGCAACAAAATGGGCGGGTTGAACGTAAGCACCGACACATTCTCAATGTTGCCCGGGCTTTAATGTTCAATCTCATGTTCCTATATTTTTTTGGGGAGAGTGTGTTTTATCTGCAGTTTATTTAATTAATCGCACTCCCTCCGATGTACTAGGCGGGAAAACTCCGTTCGAGGTGCTCACCGGACGTGTTCCCGACTTCACTTTTATCAGGGTCTTTGGATGTTTATGCTTTGCACATAACGAGAAATCCCGGGGTGACAAGTTTCTACCCCGAAGCAAGAGGTGTGTGTTTGTGGGATATCCCCATGGACAGAAAGGGTGGAAGGTGTATGATCTGGAGACTGGTAATATTTTTGTCTCTCGTGACGTCAATTTCCATGAAAATGAATTCCCATTTTTGGATATCGAACTGGATCAGACGCATGGGGTACCGTCTTCCACGGATGCGCAAGCTACTACTCCTATTATTTTTGATGATGTCGTTGATTTGCATGATGATGATGAACAAGTTTTGCATGGCCATCATGAGCCCCCACTCACAGATACTACACCTGACTCGCCTCCCCATGCCACTCCACCTGTTATTGCCGAATCATCTATACCGGCTGTGGATCCTATGCTTGGACGCGGTCAGAGAGTCAAGAGATCTTCGGTCCTACTTCGGGACTTTATTACACACGTTCGGACGCCAACCCCATCTCCGTCACTTCCTGCTTCTTCAGGCTACTCAGGTATGTCTTATCCTATAGCACATTATTTGAATTGTGATAAATTTTCTTCACGCCATCGGGAGTTTGTTGGAGCTATTCTTGCAGGTCTTGAACCTAGATCATTTAAAGAAGCCATGACGGATGATGGGTGGCGACAAGCCATGCAACGTGAAATCCATGCTCTCGAAAACAATCAGACTTGGGTCTTGGAACCTCTGCCTACTAATAAAAAGGCCCTCGGCTGTAAATGGGTTTATAAAATTAAATACCATTCAGATGGTACGGTAGAGCGTCTCAAGGCACGATTGGTTGTTTTCGGTAATCATCAAAAGGTGGGAATTGATTATACTGAAACCTTTGCTCCCGTAGCTAAAATGGTTACCGTCCGGGCTTTCTTAGCAGTGGCGGCAATTAAAAACTGGGAAATTCATCAGATGGATGTTCACAACGCCTTTCTTCATGGCGATCTGGATGAGGAAGTGTATATGAAGCTTCCTCCTGGATTTTATCCTTCTCAGCATGGGCTTGTCTGTCGGATAAAGAAATCTTTATACGGGCTGCGGCAGGCACCCCGCTGCTGGTTTGCAAAATTGGCCGCTGCACTGCGTCATTTTGGGTTTATTCAGTCTTATTCAGATTACTCTCTATTTACTTATCACCGTGACAATACATGGTTGCATGTGCTCATTTATGTGGATGATCTGATTATTGCTGGTGCTGATTCCAACGCCCTAAATAATTTCAAACAATATCTAAGTACGTGCTTTCATATGAAGGACTTAGGTGTTCTCAAATACTTTATTGGCATAGAAGTGACACGTAATACTGAAGGGATTTTTCTATGTCAACGGAAATATGCTTTAGACATTATTTCCGAGACAGGATTGCTTGGTGCAAAACCGGCTGAGTTTCCCATTGAGCAGAATCACACGCTTGCTCTGGCTGATGGACCGATCTATGCCGAACCCGAGGCTTATCGAAGGCTTGTTGGCCGACTGCTCTATCTCTCCTTCACACGCCCAGACCTGGCATATGTAGTTCACATTCTTTCTCAATTCATGCAAGCTCTGCGTCAACAACATTGGGATGCAGCCCTACAGGTTGTTCGTTACTTGAAAGGCACTCCGGGTCAAGGTATCCTTCTCAGCTCCTCCGGACAGTTGACTCTGACAGGATGGTGCGATTCTAATTGGGCCAGTTGTCCTCTTACTCGTCGTTCTCTCACCGGCTGGGTCGTGTTTCTGGGACACTCTCCTATCTCTTGGAAAACCAAGAAACAGCACACGGTGTCTCGTTCATCTGCAGAAGCAGAATATCGTTCTATGGCAGCTCTTACCGCAGAATTGAAATGGCTTAAAAGTCTTCTACGTAGCCTTGGCGTCACTCATTCTCATCCTATGCCTCTGTTCCGCGACAGTAAATTTGCACTTCATATTGCACAGAACCCCGTCTTTCACGAACGTACAAAGCATATCGAGGTCGATTGCCACTACGTTCGTGATGCTCTTCAAGAGGGGCTAATCACTACACAACACGTTTCCACTACTGATCAACTCGCCGATATTTTTACTAAGGCTCTGGGCAAGCGGCAGTTCCTCTTTCTTCTTCGCAAGTTGGGCATTTATAATCTGCATGCTCCAACTTGAGGGGGGTGTTGGGCACGAAGCATATTTGGGCTTAATGTTGTACTATATTAATTGTATTTAGGCTTTGCATAGAAGATACGGGCTGCGGCCACATTAGTTACATAGGGTTTCTTTACTCTTTGTATATATATTCGATCATGTATCCATGAATGGGCAAGGAATCATTATTCTCATAATATATATTATTCTTCTACTTAACAGTTGGGATTATTTATATAGGGATTACATGCTATATCTCTTCTCATTCACTTTAGAAACTACATGAATTCATTTATAGGGACCATTATTGGCGGAACGTACCTAAAGTTGAGATTATTCTGAAATAATCGATAGTTGGGATTATTATGAGCGGACTGCCAATAATTGGTATTAATATTATTATCAATTTTTTCAATATTATATTACTCCCTGCATGGAACATGTCAATATGCTCCGGCTTTTGATTAGTTAGATACATCATATTCGTTCAATTCATTTGATGCATCCACATCATGCATTAACTAGATCCTTATAATCGAAATATGTTATTGTTGTCAATAAATTTACTCATCGCGGTGAACTTTATTTGAAGCAATTTCTTTATATTACCACCGTTCTTTAAAATTTTGCATCATGCTTGATGGATTTTACACGTACAATTCACATGTTTTAAGAGGAGTATATTTTATTTATTGATGTATACAAAATATGTTTCTTTTGTCCATCATTTGCAATAGACCCAAAAATTCTATTTTTGGCTTGAGAAGATGACGGAATACAGCAAATGACACACTAAATTATTTGCGTTTCTTTTTTATGAAGCAACAGTCTGTCAATGTAATGTTCGACGCGATTTTCACTATGTGTCAGTCAGAAACAATCTCTTTGTGCTTGTTGAGGTTTATTCCCGAAGATCCGAAAGCCAACACAAGCTCTGGATATTGTGGGGATGTTAACTTGGTTTGGAAAGTGTATGAAATATAAAACAGTGAGATATTGTTCAACTCAAGAGCACACTTATATTCAGTAATTCTGCGATTACACTGAAATTACCCGAACGGTAGGTAAGTACAAGAATACAAGAATAAGAGAAGTGTTTCTAGTTGCTAAGCTCTGAGTATTAAAATGCTAACCCTTTACAATGTATTCAATGCAGGTATTTATACTAAAATGGGGATGAGAAAGCTGGACACGTGGCTGAATCTGGTAGGCTATGCCCCCTGCCACGTATGCACCCATGCCTCCACTTGCTGCCGCCATGCTTCAGCATTAAATGCGGCCTCCACTTGCTGACTACCCGTTCGGGTAGGGTGTTCGATACTGGGGTATCCCGTCATTGTTGTCCTGAGAGCCAATATCCCGAACGCCGCTCGGTGTGCTGCACCCCGTCAAGAATGCGGGTGTAGTTATTACCCGAAATGTTCCAAGTGTAAGTAATGTGCCGAACGCCGAACGGGTCTGGACTGCTTTGGGCCTTCTGTTTCCTCATGGTTTCCTCATACTTTGGGCCGGGGATATTGGGTCTGGACCCAATATCCCAATAGTGCTTTAGTACAAGATTAATATTGCTTAAGTCGGACCTCCACTTGCCTCCACCATAGGTGAGAGTTTTGGACGCATTGGGATTATGTTGATGATGACAAAATTTGTCTCTTTGAAATTACTAATAGCAAATTAAATAAATACTCCCTTCATCCCATAAAATTGTTCCAATTTTTCTTTTTGGATCGTCACGAAAAATTCTTCCCACTTAACATTTTTTTTGATAATTAGTGTGACTCACATTCATTTTACTTTTTTCTTACACAATTACTATGTGACTATACATTTTCATATCTCACCTCCTTAATATGAGAGCCAAGTCAATGCGCGAAAAACTTTATAGGACGGAGTGAGTATATGCATAGTCAAAGTTGTAGATAAGAAGTAAGTACCTAAATGAAAGGGTTTAATATTTACAAGCATACACTTCAAAATTTGGTTTAATTTGCGGAGAATGCCCCAACCCGTGCAGCTTTGCTTGTGCACGCTAAGAAGAACCCTAGATAGTTTAATTACTTATATACCCTACAAAACTGCATTAAATGATTGTAGAAAGGTCAGCCGGCCTTTAGTTTCCAAAAAAGCTTTGGCAATTACTAATGATGATGGGCAAGGCAGGCTAGCTTGAATTGGGTAGGGGTTTTGATGGTGCATGCCTTTTGCTGCAATAGTATGGGAGATTTGAAGCTGCTATGTTGGAGTCCAAAATGGACAGAAATTTAATTCGATCTTCCAATAATTAAGCCTTCGTTCAATTCCTTATACGTAGTATATGAAAGTGTTCAAGTACTTGGTAATTAAACTCGCTAGCTACCTCATCTCTTCTTTGTCTCCCTTACTGCCTTAGCCTGCTAGGCTGCTAAGCTACTTTAATTTGGCCTTTAAGTTGTCCATTGAAGCCTACTATACGTACACACACCACAACACAAAGAAAGAAATGGGGTTTGCTTCGAAAAAACTTGGTGAAGCTCTACTACTCTTCTCACTCGTCACCTCCGTGGTGGCCGCCACCTTGCCAAACGACGGTAACCATCCATTTCGATCTAGCTCTTCTTAATTAATTACTACTACCTCCGTCCCAAATTGATTTGCAAATTTGATTTTTCTTGATCAAACAGTTTCATTGTATTCGCTTAATTAGGATGTAAATTTTTAATTATAATATAATTTGGAGTTTACAACTTTGAAGAAATTTTAATGTATTTTCTGAATATATAAATTTTAATTATTAAAAATTAAATTAATTATTGAAAACAGAGCATTGACTTTTATTATTGCTTAACAAAAAATGTTGACTTTTATTATATGTTCCGGCCACTCTCTCTTTTTTCTTTCTTTGTTTGCTGAAAGCTAAGATACGATAAAAAAGCCTGCGCGGCCTCACTTGCAGGCAATATGTAGCTAGGTTAAAGCTAAGTAATTATTACGAAGTATTTCTGTTAATTTGTACGTTATTATGTTAACACCTTGTAACTTTTTGTTTCTTTCTTTCTATGAGTGCATGTTCGTCAAAACATTTAAAATTGGGTATTTTGATGATTTGAGTGTATTGGCTGGCCTTCTTGGTAGCAAATCTCTAAATCTTAACGGCTTCTTCGCTCCCTACTCACGCATGTTATTGCGCTTGGTATTTTGTAATTAAGAAATTATTAGAGGATAAAACTTGTTATTTTACCAATCTAATTTAAAAATATAACAAAAAAGTAAGATGAGTCTAGGCGAAATCATAAATAAAGGGAAAAAGTAGAAAAGTAAAAACTTGGTAAAATTTAATTGGTTAGAAAAGTCTTCATGTTTTCGAAATAATTCAAAAAGAAAAATGTATATTAAATGAAATATTGTCTTATTTCAGGTAACCCTAATTCGGTGAACGCTACGTTGGTTAAGGCCGACAAAAAAGCAGGTACACACATGTAACCCATATATTTCTAATTAATTGGATGATTTGGATCATCATCATCAAGTTTAATACATGCAGCACAGTCATAAATATACTACGTAACGTCACTTTTTAATCCATTGTAGTTTGCTTGCTCGGGAATCCGGCAGCTTACTTTTACGCGCCGGGATATGGTAATGGGATTGAAAATTGGATTATTTATCTTCCCGTAAGTTATCTAGTTTTATATTCTTTTCATTCAAATTATCTTCGGACTTTGATGGTTGGATACTCTTTCTATCCATTAAAACTTTGTTATTCTGTTTTTTTTTAGATTAATCGAGTTCACCTTTTACCGATTGTGTATTTTTATATGATACTTTTTATTATTTATAATTTACAAATAATATGAAAATGTTTTTCATTAAAATTACGTACTTCTCACACAAATATATATGAGTGCATATCTTCCATAATATTATACAAAGTATATATATATATATAATACTTTGTTCCAAATTTTAATATTATATAATACTAATCAAATTCATGATCCAAATTTTAATATGCATATAGATTATGATGCAGCTTTTGAATTCAATATTTCAATGCAACATTACTGTCATCCTTGAATAGAATAAAAAATCTACAAAGTAATGATATTTTTAATTTGACTGAAATTTTCTGGTCTAGTCTGATCTGATTTGAACTTGTCTAGTTTGAACCTGTTTGCTAAATGTATTATCTCTGTGTATTTTATAATTTTCTAAGTCTAACCTAATCTGATCTGATTTGGTCTAGTCTAATATGATCTGGTTTGATCAGATTTGAACTGTTCTGATCTAATATGTTCTGTTCTGGTCTGAGACTAAAAATAGTCAAGTAAAAACATCCTAACATACCATCCTACATTTTGGATCAAATAAAAAGATTTTTTATGTGAAAAGTGAGAATCATTTTTGTACATTAGATTTGAGATATAACGACTCTAAAGGTATCAACAACGCAATAATTGGACTAAAGATGCAGTGAAATTTTTACTCCCTCCGTCCCTAAAAGAAGTTTCATTTCACTTATCGAGGGTCAATTTAAATCACTCTTAAACTCTTACTTTTTATATCAAAATTTTATAAAAGTTGAATTATTTTTTGCAGACTTTGTAGCGGGTTTAATGTAGTTTTTGAATATGTAAATTTTATTTACTAAAAATAATTCGAGTTTTCACAGGAATCATTTAACTTTATCGTCGGTCAACCTTCGTAATCCACAATTGGAACAACATTTAGGGACGGAGAGAGTATGAATAACTTGATACGCATTTTTTACACCGTGAAAAAATGAAGCATTGGAACTTAAGTGCAGTACAACGATGTAAAAGTAATTAAAAATATCACACTTTTTATATTAAATGCTTTTTTATTTAAACCGGGCGGTATATATACATATACGGTCGTCATACGGAGTGTGTGAATATATGTAGGTAGATACTTCGTATTTACTAAAATATCACCGCGTTTTCTATTAAATTCATACGTAGTAGGTAGTATCATTCATCAATTAAATTATACGAAGTAATTACTTTTATTTCGGACTAAAAAGCCTTTTTTATTTAAATCATATTCTCTCTCTATACGGTCAAATTAAAATTTCCTATAGTTTTGTTGTGAGTAAACTTCCGTGTAAGTTTAGTTTTGAAATTCCCTGTTTACTTTAATTTCGAGTTTTAACGATAACAAGTACTTACTCCTTTAATTTTGCTAAAAAAACGATAACATGTACGACCCGAATTGATTACCATGAGTAGCTTTAACTTTTCATTTAATGTGACATTAATGATTAATGATTTGCAATTGACTAGCTTTGTCGAAAATGGTTTAATAAAATCAAAGCATGAATATTAAAAATTAAATGAATATGAATATATGATTTAATAGCTTGTGGAATCATTGACTATGAATTAATAAAAAAAATGAACAATTGTGACAGTAAATAAGTGTGAAGTGTCCTGTCACCAAGTAGTTCAAAAGTAGAAGCGTGTTTCATAATGCTAGAAGTGTAATCGCCTATAACAAAAGGTATGTAATTCATTTTTAGGGTTTTAGTTTTCACAAGTAGACACGCCACTCTATTTCAAATAACATTTTATTGTACATGCTGGAAGGTTGGATCTCTTTTAAATGTCAACCTTGGATCATACCTAGAACTTCCTCCGTTCTTTTTTAATTTCAACCGTTCCTTTTGACGTTTGTGAACACATAAGTTTGACCTTTAATATCTTCCATTTCTTATTAGTAAACAACTAAAAAAGTTCAGATTTTGAAAATTTAAAATGAGAAAAATTTAACAATGTTTTTTGAAAATTTAATTTATAATACATTAATAAATAAAATATAGTCAAAATAGAATATGTGAATAATAATTTAAAAAGTCCAACGTTGCAATTAAAAGAGAATGGAGGTAGTATGTTTGTAGGAAAAAATATTGCATATATAATGTGTGTGAAATAATGTATGTACATTATATGGTTTTGGTCAATAACTCTTTTATATGTTGTTAAATTGCAGGGGGGCGGATGGTGCAGAAACGTTAGTGACTGCGAAGACTATATTGTAAACAAAGGCGTAGGTTCAAATCCAGGACCATTTAATTTTGATGGTTTTGGTATTTTGAGCCCTAATAAAGAACAAAATCCCGGTAATGAAGAAACCATATCATTAACGTTCGAGCGGCTTTGATTAATTAGCTCAATGATTTTTTTTTTTTTTTTTTTTTTTTTTTTTTTTTGGTGGGTTGCGCCAGGCCGATGCAGAAGTGCAACGCAAAGGCGACGCTTGAAAGCCCAGACAGCAAGCTGCCTTAGCGGGCCTTCTCCCCTAAAAAATTGAGTTAATATCGTGTGGGTTAATAGCCCACATATCAGATATTAAACTGATAAGAACAGATACTACACTTGATCTTAACAACAGATATCATAATAGCTCAATGATTTCTCTCCATTCAATTTGTTCTTCGATTAGCTAGTCTTCCCTATTTGATCAATAAGGCTTTGATTTGTTTTATGATAAAAATACTCCAATATATAATGTGCAGGCTTTTATGACTGGAACCGAGTTTTTGTCCGGTATTGTGATGCGTCTTCGTGGACGAGCAACTCTCAGGCATTAACAGCAAATGTAAGCTAAGATTAGATTACACTTTTCTTGTTTCATTAAGAATTAGCACCACATGCATGCGAATCTAATTAAGAAAAAATGCATGGCCCACATTTATTGGGATGGTCATGAATACTACGTAATACTACGTATGATACTCATAAAAAATGGGGCGTATAGTATTTATAATTCATTTAATTTCTGATTCAAGTCAATATCTTATCGTTTATTTTTGTTACAATCATTCATTTGCAATATATGAGTAGTGCATGACTTAATAATAAATTGACAACAAATTGTTAATGCATGAGTATTAATAATAATAATGAAAAATTGAAAATAATAATCCCAACTATTGCCGGTCCGCTGACAATAATCCCAACTATTGATTATTTTTGTATAATCCCAACTATATGGACCGTCCGCCAATAATGGTCCATGACAAAGAATTACCTCCTATAACAAGTGAATTTGAAATAGAAATTAAGCGTAAAAAATTAAAAATTGGGATTATTTATAGGGATTACTTGCTATATCTCTTCTCATCCATTTTAGAAACTACGGAGTACATGAATTTATTTATAGGGACCATTATTGGCGGAAGGTCCCTAAAGTTGGGATTATTTTGAAATAATCGATAGCTAGAATTATTATGAGCGGACCGCCAATAGTTGAGATTATTACTATCAATTTTTCCTAATAATAATAAGGGAGAATTTGACTTTGCATCCCACTTTTTTCGTGATATTGGACTTTGCACCCTATTTTGAAAAAACTTTGATTTTGCACCCCAACACATAACATTTTGTGAAGAAAAATTAATGAATGGGGTGCAAAGTCAAAGGATTTTAAAGTGAATTAGGGTGCAAATTCAAAGTTTTTTTAAAATGGGGTGCAAAGTTCAATATCACCCAAAACTGGGGTGCAAAGTCAAATTCTCTCCCTAATAATAATAGTACTAGTAATTAATAACAATAAAATACCTTAAATGCTTAAACACACGACCTGTACTACATACATTTCCGAAACTTTCTCATTAATATTAAACATGTATCTAAAACTTTGTTCCCAAAAAATTGTTGTTTAAAATTTAGGATTTGAGTCCACGTCCTCATCGCCCTCCATATATTATACGGAGTACGGAGTAGGAAACGAGCTTGGCATGCATTCATCATGAACATTATTACAATATGTTGATTGACTATTGTTTATGTTGGTGGACTTTCTTATGCAAATATACATGTTATCTGTACATTAATGATAAACTAGCTACTTATATTCTTTGTCACATTACTGTAAAACAAATGTTCTTTGTCACATCAAAGTGACAAAGTATATTGTCTACACAATACCCATGCACTGATATTGGTTGAATTCTCTTGCAGGGTACTAAGCTATACTTCAGGGGAAAGAGAATTTTCAAAGCTGTGATGAAAGAGTTGTTGCACAAAGGAATGCGAAGTGCAAAAAATGTATGCTTTCAGTATTTCATTTACTAATAAAATGGACGACACATTAGCTCATTACTGTCTCTATTTGGTAAATTATTACTAGCTTTTACCAAGAGAAATTTCATATTTAAATTACAACCAGACCACATCATACCAAATCAGATCAGACCAAACCGCATTTTTTTTAATTAAAAGTAAAAACATTCTTAATATTTTTGTCATGTCTCATGTAGTCATGTTTAAGAGCCTGTTTGGTAACACGAAAATCGGCTGTTTTGGCTGATTCTGCTGAATTTTATGAAGTTCTGACTGAAGTGGCTGCATTGGCTGATCCTGCTAATATAAGAAAAAAATATTTTTAAAATATATTTTATTAATAAAATAAAGAAAAAATTATATGTAAAAATAGCTAAAATTGTCATCTACAGTAACTTCAGCCAATACAGCCAGAAACGTAACTCTAACCTTACTTTTTCTGCTTATTACATAATTCAGCGCGCGAAAGCAAAATTTACGTGTTTGGTGAAAAAGTTAGTTGATAAGCCTGATAAGCCGAAAATCATGGTTGCCAAACGGCCTCTAACTCTAATTTGATATATATACAGAGTAATTTATTTTTACAAGTATTAAAGCATATATCCCTTTTTGTTGAGTGTATTGAAGAAGGAAAACTTAAAACTGTTTGTACACTTACTTTGTGTGTAGCACTCCACATTTTACACAGACAATTGTATTAAAAATGAATAAGAAAAAAGAAATGAGATATTACCCGAAATAGGACTAATTTTTTTTGAAAATTCCAATATAGGACTTCCACGTTTTTATTTCCAAAATAGGACTAATTACTGTCATGTTTTGACAGTACCGGATTTCAAAGATCACAATATTTTCCAAACTTGGCAGTAACTAGTCCTATTTTGGGAATAAAAGTATAACAGTCCTATTTTGGAATTTTCAAACATTTTTAGCCCTATTTCGAGAACTTTCCCGAAATTGTGCATACCAAGCAGCTCTTATCGAAGAATATAATCTCTGTAATTTGGAAACAACTTTTTGTTGAATTTCAAACGTTTAGTTTTTTTTTTTTTTTTTCAATTTTTTTGTAGGCTCTATTAGTCGGCAGTTCAGCAGGTGGAGTAGCCACAACTATTTATTGTGACAAATTCCGAAGCTACTTTCCTGCTACTTCTACAGTAAAGTGTTTCTCCGATGGTGCCTATTTCTTTCTTCCGTAAGTTAAAAATACTCCAAATGCGAAATGTCATACTACCCCGTTCTTAAATAAATGCAACACTACTTTGACTTTAACACTATTCACAGGTTCTACTTTGAAATAAATTTTATTAATGTAATAATATTATTTATTAATGTAATAATATTATTTCATGAAAAAAAATATTGTTAAACTTGTGTCATTGTAAATTTTCATAATCTAATTTTTTTAATTTTTTTATTAACACAAAATCATTTATATTAATGGTTAAAGTTGTGTCTCGGCAAGTGTGAAATGTTGACCGTTGCATTTATTTAAGAACGGAGGAAGTATATACTCGAACTGTAGGTGCTATTGAAGTCTAAAATAGGACTAAAACAGTTTGATAATTCTAAAATAGGACTGACATGTTTTTTATTCCCAAAATAGGAGTAATTACTGTCAAGTTTGGAAAATACTGTCATGTTTGAAGTCTGGTATTGCCAAAACATGATAGTTATTAGTCCTATTTTGGGAATAAAAACATGACAGTCATATTTTGGGATTTTCTAACCCATTTAGTTCTGTTTCGGGTAATATCTATTCTATATATATACTATAAGGGCTTGTGATATTTTAACAGGAAGAATCGCACGGAAGAGAATACATTTCTATTAATGTTTAAGGGCCTGGTGAAACTACATGTACGCATTCCTTCTGGACTCTCATGTTCTATGCGACACACTGCCGCACATGCACTTTTTTTTTAGTCATTTTATTGGTCTGTTGTGTTTATTTTTTTTCTTTATATAGGACATGATTTAACACTTCATTTTGAAAAGATTAATATTTATATGATTACATTTCAAATTTTCATTAATAATGAGATCAAACACAAATTCTAATTCCAAATGAAAAAGTTCCAATTTCTCAAATTTAAAACAAAAAAGGCAAATTCTATACTACTTTAAAGGTATTGTACACGTGATTCACGTGAACCAAAGTTAATACGAGTATTACGATTGCATAATTTGAAGTTTTAAACAATGATTTGGACAACAGAAATTGATCTAAATAGGAGTAAAAACGTTTTGAAATTCTAAAATAGAAGTATCATGTTTTTTATTCCTAGAATAAGAGTAAATTTCTGCCAAGTTTGGCATTACAAGGCTTTTAAACATGACATTTTCTTCCAAATTTGGCAGATTACTCCTATTCAAGGAATAAAAAACATGATACTCCTATTTTGGAATTTCAAAACGTTTTTACTCCTATTTAGGGAATTCTCTCATTTGAATATGTAATTTTTTTCTTCTAAAATTAATTTGATTGCAGATAGGGATCCGTTTGCTTTATCGTCGGTCAAACATCGTAAACCGAAAAAGTATCTTATAATTCGGGACGGAGGGAATACATGTACACGCGATACCGTTAGTGTTTGATACATGCCAATAATGCCATAGCATTGACAATAATAAAACTATTATCATTTCTAAGTTGCCATGCCAGGTCAATTTTGGATAAAAGCTACAAACTTCAATTACCCTAAATTTTATCTTAGAACTCATAGATCTTCTCAATCTATACAGAAATCAGGAAGTGTGCTGCCGAAATCTTGTAGAAGAAGATTAAGTGCAGAATTGGTAAGTCATGTCATCTTACATAAATTCTATGCATTCGAATTTACTCCAAATTTAGAGGAGTACTTAAAATTGTTCGTGTAATATATAGTTGGGTTTTCGGATTTTGCAGTGTTTCTTTCCTCCAAATTTAGAGGAGGACATCACAACACCAATGTTTTTCTTAATGTCAGCTTTTGACAGAGTCCAGGTCTGACACTTGTTTGCAAATGTTATTTGCATGTTTAATTCTTTAATTTATTTGTTGTGAACTTGTGATACATTAACTCTCACGTTTAACAATGTGCTTTCTTAGCTTAGTTGCCTTTAATCTCTAACTGTATGAGAAAATGAAAACTAATAATCCAACCTTTTAGCATTCTTCTTGCAACAGTCTCACCTTTTTGTTATTCAAGAATAATCCAACCTTTGCACCTCATCTTCATTTGTTGGTCTTTAGCCTTCCCGGTTAATGACCTGCTATTCCAAGTTATTTTCTTTATCTTTGCAAAATATTATCTTTGTGAAAGGTGAGATTTATGATATAATGATTTGCAAAGATAAGAAAATGACATGGAATAGCAGGTCATCAACCAGTGAATGAAAATGAGGTGCAAAGGTTGGATTATTCATAATAACGAAAAAGGTGGGACTATCGTAAGAAGACCGCTAAAAGGTGTGATTATTAGTTTTCATTTTCCCTATATCTATTAGGATCAGAGCTGATGAATAGAGATAATATATGGAAAGGAAATTATTACTATTTAATTGGCTGGAGGTCACAATAACCAATGTAAATATGTTTGTCCCTGTTACATCCAACAATCATACAAAAGATATAGAGTGGAGAAGAAACAGATTATTCCATTCAATACCAAATTAATCGAGAAATACAGAGTTGGGTATCAAGAAAGGAAAATTGCGGCTCTCTCTCTCTCACTAGAATAATATGCGGTGAATAATCTGTAAAAGCCTCTTTTACACATTCCTAATGCAATATTTATATGCCTAGGGAATGTGTGATGTGACCTAAGCATGAATTGGACTCCTTTATTGATTGGGCCCAATAGCACACTTTACACATTTCCTAATAAAGTTAGTCTATTTATAGCTTACAAAGGTGCTAATGGGCTGAAATATTTAGACAAAATAGCTACAAAAATACAAAAATATCAGGGCACATTTAATTTGGAGCATGAATGTTTGGCTAATCATACTTTATCTAAATGTTACGAGCAATGTGTTGTTCATGATAGCATTTAATTTCATCAAATTGTCTGCATTATTGGCATGTGATCTTCAAAACCTTCATGTATAAAATCTACTACTAAAATCTAATGTACGTAGAATATTAACTCTGATCTTAAGTGCTTACAAAATAAACTACTAGTTTAATTAACTTGCACCTATATGTATATCCCAGATCTTGTATACTCTGTCAATTGATCTTGCTGGTTGTGTCCCTCTCAAGAATTGCACGTCCAACCAAATTGAAGCCTCACGAGGTTTGCATTGGAATTTCTATCAGCAGTTATATAAAGTGTCGATTATATTATACGAAGTATTGTTAAATGATTAATTTCATGTTAGTTGATAATTAATGTACGTATAACTCAAAATATGTGGAAGAGCTTGGGTCGGAGCTTCTAACTGTGCTACCAACGCAAAACAAAGGATATCTCATCACAGCTCCATTCGCTCATACTCAAGCGGATCAGTCTACTTGGAACACTTTTCCTGCTGCACAGACTAATGAGGTACGTATATGCATGTTGGCAGCATGCATAAACATTTCTAAATCTTATCTTTAGGAACTGAAACTTCCCTTGAAAATAAGTTTGACTCAACTTCTTAGATTTGAATCAGGAAATTTGAATTTTGACTAAAACTTCTTAAATTTTGACCATCAATTAATCAAATTTAGTACGAGTAATACTTTATCACAAAAAAATCAATTTTATATACTTCATTGTACTCCCTCCGTCCCAAAATTAACTTCCCGTTCGGTTTACGATGCTTGACTGACGATAAAGCAACTCGATCCCTGCTCACACTCGGATTATTTTTAGTAAATAAAATTTACATATTCAGAAACTACATTAAAACCGCTACAAAGCCTGATCAATAAAATTTAAATTTGATAAAAATTTGATATAAAAAGTAAAAGATTACGAGTGATTCAAGTTGACCAATGAATAGTGAGTGGGAAGTTGTTTTTGGGAACGGAGGGAGTAATATGTATTATTCACATTAATGTCGGATCAAAATGAAAACCAACACAAATGATAGGGATGAAATACAAAACAAAAAATGAGAAATTTAAAACGAAATACACTATATTTATAAAGACTACAAACATATTTACACCATCTATATGGTCTAATGTAACATCTTTGTTTTAAATGTCAGACTATAGCAGGCTTATTCGGTGATTGGTACTTTGGAAGGAAAAGTGTTGAAATAATAGACAAGAATCCAGGTCCCTACCAATACCCTACAAGTCGAAGTGGTGCATAGTCTCGATGCGAAACGATATGATGAATCACATTTTTATGAAGCCATTACGAGGACAGAAAAGCCACCTCAGATAGTTCCGACGAGAATCACCTTCCAGACTTGTCTATTTGGGGACTTCCGTGTCGCCGTGTGGAATTGTTTCTTAACTTTTGTAAACAGAAAAGTCAGCTAAATAAATGTTATGTTCACAAAATAACCTTTTGTTAACACAAGAAAAGTGTAGATTATGTCCACAAAATTTTAGTTTAAGATTTAATTGAGAAGTCAGCTAAATAAATTATTGAAAAACTATGAGCCCGTTTGGTAGCACCAAAATCGGCTGTTTTGGCTGATTCTGCTGAAATTTATGATATTCTGGCTGGAGTGGCTGTTTTGGCTGATTTTGCTGATTTAAGAAAAAAATATTTTAAAAATATATTTTATTAATAAATTAAAGAAAAAATTATATGTAAAAATAGCTAAAATGGTCCTCTACAGTAACTTCAGCCAATACAGCCAGAAAAGTAACTCCAACCTTACTTTTTCGGCTTATTACACAATTCAGCGCGCGAAAGTAAAAGTTACGTGTTTGGTGAAAAAGCTGGCTGATAAGCCTGATAAGCCGAAAACAGAGTTCTCCAAACGGGCTCTATGTGTTTTGTATATATTTACACAGTGTATTTTAATAATTTATTCAACTGACTTCTGAGCTGAGTTTTCATCAAAAAACTCTCTCGAGAGCCCCTCAAATAGACAAATTCAGACGGTAGTTTCGGTCAGAACTACTTGAGGTGATTATTACCCTTATGGAGTATATTTATTTGACATAACATACTTTACATGTATAATTTCTTTTATTTAATTTCTGGTTGTGTAGCAGCTAATTATACTGCTTTGAGGGGTCGGTGTAGTAATTATTTGCTAAACTCAATGTTCTCCGTATATTCTAAATAGGGAAAAATAATAAAAATACCCCAAACTTTGAAAGGGTGTGAAGTAAGCACCCAAACTTGCATATGTAATTTAAATACCCCAAATTTTATATAAAAATTTATTTTCGCACCATTGTCATGTATTATTTCTTTCAAAAATGTAATTCTATGGAGTAATTGCATAATTTAAAATAGAAATTTAAAAATTTTGCAATTGTATGGATTGGGGGTAGCATTATTTATTTCTAAATGGAAGTTAGAATGTTAATTGTGTCTTCAAGAATTCTAAAATATTTTAAATTTTGCAATTAACACCATAAGTTTACATTTTTGAAAGAAATAATATTTGACTATGGTGTTAAAATAACTTTTTATATAAAGTTTGAGATATTTAAATTACATATGCAAGTTTGGGGTGTTCATCTCACACCCCTTCAAAGTTTAGGGTATTTTTATTATTTTTCTCATTTTAAATATTTCTTAACTGTGTTTTTAATCTGGAGTAGTAGGCATCACCAAACTCAATATTACATTCTCAAGTACGCGTAGTATTGGGCAAAAGTTTTAAGTGTCCAGTGTCAATGTTCTATAAGGCATAAGTCGTGTGGAGGCGACACGATCAAGTCTCATGCCTTTGAAGCCTAGACGATTTTAGGTGAGACGTAGATGTGAAAATACATTTGGATATTTTTGTCATAATTTTAATTTTCCTACCGCCATAAATTGGAATGTAAATTTATTATGCAAGAATACCATTACTTTTTTAATATAAAAAGTACATTTCTAATAGTCTAAGAACACTGGTTTAATTGAATTCAAACTTTATGATCATATTTAGTCTGATCGATTTAGACTTATTTGGCCTAGTCTATTCTTGCATATGCTTGTTTTATATGTATTTTAAATATGTTGAACATTGGTCTGGTCTGATATATCTCGCCTGATCTATTTGGTCTGATATGGTTTAGTTGATCGAATTTGACCTGGGAAGGAAATCAATATAATAAAAGTTATAATAATGCCAATATAATAATAATTATAATGATGATGATGATGACGACGCCGATGATGATGATAGTAGTAGTAGTAAATAATTGTGACAAAAAACAGTATTAATAATAATAGTGATAACAATAATAATACTAATAATAATAACAATAACAATAATAATAACAATTAAAATAACAATAAGCATAAAAACAACAACAACAACAACAATAATGCTAATAGTAATACTGTTACTAATGATAATGATGATGATGTTGATGATCATAATAACAACAACACTAATAATAATAATAATTGTTGGTGGAAAATAACTTGACTAAAGAAATTGGCAGCAATTTAGTAGGATGAAAATAATGTAGTAAATACAAACATATTGTAAACAACTAATAGTAGTGCCAATGGGTCAACCGGCCCAACAAATAAATAAATAATCTCAGACCAATTTCCGCTAGCCAGGTTAGGTTCCGAGCCTGGTCAGGCCCATGCTCGGGTTTAACGGGCCGATGGTACTGAACTTGAGAAATTATTCCAACACGAGTCCCCCACTCCCTTAGTCGAGTAATAGACTCAGCTAAAACGGAGTAGTCGAGCAGTTTTAATTTGAAATCGGTCCAGTTGTCGGTCTGGTTAGCCGGTCGCTCAATTCTCTGCCGGTTGGGTAGCAACTTGGGTCTTGTTTGGCCGATTAGCAGCTCGAGGGTTTCCTTGTGATGGTCCCTAGTAAGGTAAAGCTAGAGGGGGGTGGGTGAATAAACTTTTAAATCTTTTTTCGATTTTAAAGTCTCTTTTCTTTTTTGAAATTTGATCCTTAAACCTTTTGAGAGGTTTTAGAATCCGCAGCGGAAGTCTTGACTTTTTAAGAACACAATTTAATGGAAAAATCATTATGCAGCTAACCAAATTTGCGGTTACTATTAAAAAGAACCTGTTAGTTGGAGCATAAAAGTGCAGGGAAGGATTTCACAAGAAGAAAAACTGGTATCTGAGATTTATGTGCAAAAACCATTTGCAATGACAACCGTTTCCACATCCATTAACCTTATTAACCAAAAGCTAATTAGAAATTTGAGCTCCACCAGTTTAAACTCAAAAACTCAGCAAAGAAAATATATATGAGAGGATAGGCGACACCAAATATACCTTAACTTCACACTACTCGAACTATTAAAACCCTTCACATATCATAGTAGTGAAATTTGCACAACCTAAATAAATCATACAGCTAACACCCCCCTCCAACAAACAACAAAGACAAAGAAAAACATTGAGGACTGAAAATTTAATCTTACCAGATGTGACCGAATTGATAAATGAATTGAATACCGGCGTTTGAAAGGAATATTTCGGTGAGTAGAGAAAGAAGAGAACGGACTGCTATGGAAAAAATTTCGAGAGCTTCAGGGTTTATATGGTGAAATGTATTTATGCATAAATCTCGGGATTTCAATGTTTAACATATTTACCTGGGCTTAGTTAACTTAATTGGGCTTCTAACACATTAAAGGTATATTCTATTTAAAAATAAACTGACTAAGCTTTAAAACATTACTTATTTCTCCAGTTAAAATTATTGGATCTTACCGGTCAACGTTACCTGCCAGAATAACACATGATTGACGTGCACTTTGTCGTGTGTGCACTCAAAATAATTCGATAGTAACAACTATACGTAGTATAGCGTAGTAGAGTTCGTATCCACAGGGAAAGAAATAACTCTCTTTTTATGTAACTAGTAAATAAAGGGGGGATTTTGATTGAGTGATTTAATTAAATTAAACACGAAGATGAACGAGTTATATGTGATTTAATTCAAGAATAAAAGGGACTTGGTCTTGCTACTTTCCACTTGTTGATATATTTCAGTCGATCATTGTTATATCTATACTTATCCCCTCTCGAATACTCAATCGAGGAGTATCTCCAATTCATCGAGGGTAGTTATTAACAACGACCGTTCATTAATAACCCTTACTATTAATCAAATATAGAACAACGCCGTATACCGATATAATAGTAGCATTTGATCTCTTTAACTCCTTGATGAAATCAATTGAGATTGATAACCTCAACACAACGGTTTCGTTTTAACCAACAAAATTAATCCCTCTTAAGTTTATTAACCACGACCGTGCATTAATAAACCGAAGTTACTTACTTGTGAAATCATCAACGATTAACCATCGGTTCATTGATCATTTCTAATAATAATTAATGTCGGAACGTTAACTAATCGTCACTTAACAACCCTCCAACATTAATATAGAGATAGATTAAGGGAAGAATTAATAATCAAGAGAAGAAGTTAAGAAAATAACTCGCAACTTTAATAATCAACAAGCTTCAAGAGCAAAACCAAGAAATGGAAGTTTAGCTCCTCATTTGGAGACTAAACATGCTAGAAGAAATATAAAGAAATGCTATTCTAAACTGAGCTTAAGAGTATAAAGGAATTGGTATCTAATTGTGAAGGGAAGGGGGTGTATTTATAGGCTTTTTGGGAGTGCAGTTCTTGTACCCGATCAAGTATATATAGATACCCGATCGGGTATGTGTAAAAAGTGTAGTTTTGAGGCATACTCGATCGATTTCAGAGTGCAAATGTAAGGCATACCCGATCGGGTGTGTCGGTGTACCCGATCGGGTATGAAAATTGACCGTGGCCAAATCTTCCCCTGCACACCCTTTTGTCTCCTGATTGATCTGATTGAAAGTCCAGTTGGTACCCGATCGAGTATATGGTATACTCGACCGGGTACAGGTCAAAAATCAGGATTTTGCCTCCTTTTCATCTTGTACTCTTGCACCTTCCTTCACCAATGATCATTTGATTGATCTTGGCCCTGTTTAAGTTCAGAATGATCCTAATCTAAATGAATTACAACTAAATTACAAACATAACTATTACACCAAAAGTGTGTAATTTCCGAAATATTAAACAACCAAAACTAACTAAAAACGTAAACATACACACGGAAATTACACGCGTATCAATGATCAAACAATAAATCACATTATTCACAAAATAAACTTATTTAACTTACTAAATAAAATAAAAGATTAATGTAACTAGAATTACTAGATCGCTAAAATGGGGGTGTTACAATGGTAGTTACCTATATTTTATATAGTGATAAGTCCGTATTAAGACACGCATTTGATGTATGTTGGGATCAGCATTTGATGGTTTTCCTAGGTTTAAGATGTTACAAGTCTCAATTTTAGCTCAAGTTATGTTTACCAGGCGTTGGTTCGAGTTTTGTGTTGTTTAGAGACAATGCAAATTCAGGAATTTAGAGTCTGGCACCGGCGCTTGAGAAGCAATCGGGAAGAGTTTGAGAGCATTCGAGTGAGATTAGAGAGTTTTGGAGGCCACCGGGAGGTTCACGACGAAGATTTGATGAAGAAACGGCCTTCAGATCGATCAAACAAGCATCCGAGAGCAAACGGGGAAGAAAGTAGCAAGAAAACGGTTCTAGAACATTCCGCGCGCCCCGCGGGTGATTCTGAGAGCAAAAAGTCAAGAAGTCTGAACCGCACTATGTGCAACCGAAACCGCACACCGCGCGGTCCAGAAATAGCCCCCAGAAGTACCTGCACTATTGTATAGTGCGGGATCCGCACGCAATGCGGACGGAGCGAAACACGGAGCACATTAATTTTCTCACGCGGCCGCACCGTGACCCGCACGGCGTGTAGTCGACAGTGCGGTCGTGCTATTAAGCCTATTTTCGCGTTTTTTCTATAAATATGACCCCAATTTGTCTATTTTGGGGGGCGGGGGGAGCTTAGAGAGAGTGCCTGACACGAAATTTAGAGGGCTTTTCAGCCTTGTTCATCAATCTTTTGGTATTCTTTGTAAGTTCCATCTTTTTAATTAATGACAATTAATTATATTCTTCTCAATTCTATTTATTCTTCAATTATGAATTGTGAGTAGTTTAATTAAGGATTTGAGGTTGATGAAGGGGTTGACTATGATGTATGGCTAGATTCTTGATGGTTTAATTGCATGAATGCCGTTTAATTTGTGTGTGAATAATTTAACTGGTATCTTTTGTAACCTGGAACCGCGGCTATAATTACAATTGCTGGTAGAATAAGTTAAGAGAGATCTAATTTATTCTAGGACACCATCACACACACTTAAAGATGAAGAAACGAGAGTCAACAGTCAAAAGGGACCAAGAACCAGCACTTCGGGGTCAACTACAGGAGTCAAACGGAACAAAAAGTGAATATTGCAAAAAAGGACCAAACCGGTGTCGGTCTGCCCTTAGAACCGGCGTCGGTCTGATGATTTACTACTGCAACCCATCAACCAGTGAGTTAACCGGGGTCGATATGCCCTTGTAACCGGCGCCGGTTATGCTATTTTTACGAATATTCACACCACCAGTGAAGAACCAGCGCCATTCAGGCCTGAAATCGGTGCCGG